GACAGAGAACGCAACCCAAACTGGCATAAGCAAAAATAGAACGTATTGGCTTTCACAACCTGGAAAGTCCAGGGACAAGCCTAGCTTTACATGCAGCTTGATCCAGGTACTCAAGCAATATTCCTGGGGCCCAGCGTTCCCTCTGTGTGTCTCTGGGCTCCTCGTCCTCTAGGTTGACCCCATTCTCATCTCAGCCCTCCTCTAATGGCAGCAAGGTGGCCATATGAGCTCCAGCCTCAAAGTGCTTCCTGTGTTCAAGTTCAAGTTCTCTTTCAAGAAAGAGGAAGGCCAGCCTCTTTTCCAGTGGTTCCAGAGGATGCATGGTATGTCATTGTTTCCAACTTGGTTACCTGCTGTCCCTGATCACAGTGGGCAGGTGTGAGGTACAGCCCCATTTCTGGGCCAGAAAGAAGAGTCAGATCCACCCCCAGCTGGTGGGTGACAGTGCAGTGAGGTGGTTATCCATGAGGAAATGGGGGGTGCTCTTACCGGGAGAAGGGCAGGTGAATTGGAGGCAGCAGGCAATACATATCGACTTTATTTCTTAGTTCATTGTTCTCCTCTTTCTGTGAAGATCTCTTGACATGCCACTTCCTCCTCGAACAAAGTCTTGCATAAGTAGAAGTCAGCCAAAGGCTTCTGTTATTACAGTTCATCTTCATTCCATAATTTCTCTCCCCGTTTGTCACCGAACTTGAACACTGTGTAACATGCTTATTTGTATAATTCCTCCACCTTTTGTCAGATATTTTACCAGTAAGGCCAACTTTTCTGTTTTTATTGTCTTCATTTTCTTTTTTTACCAGAGGAAAAGATGGAATAAAGCTAGTTTTAGCCTGAGTACAGAGTCAATAAGCTTTATAGCTATCAGCTATATATCTCTCTTAAAAAACAGAAAACAAAAAAACCAACCAAAAAAATGAAATACTTAGGTATAAGTCTAAATATGTATGGGGTCTGTAAGTTGAAACTACAAAACACTGATTTAAAAATGTCAAAGAAGACTCAAATAAATGGAGAGAGAAATGATATTCCTGGATCAGAAAACTCATATTATGATGTCTGTTCTCCCCCAATCAATCTATAGATTCAAGTCAATCATAATTAAAATTTCAGAAGGATTTTTCTTGTTGATAGCAACAAACTGATTTAAATTTTTTTAAGTTTATTTATTTATTTTGAGAGAAAGAAAGAGAGAGAGAGAATGAGTGGAGGAGAGGCAGAAAGAGAGGGGGACAGAGGATCTGAAGTGGGCTCCGTGCTAACAGCAGAGAGTCCAATGCAGGGCTTGAACTCACGAACTGTGAGATTATGACCTGACCTGAGTCGGTTGCTTAACTGACTGAGCCAGCCATTCAGGTGCCCCTGATTTAAAGATTTATATGGAAAAGCAAAGGAATTCGAATAGCCAAAACAATTTTGAAAAAGGAGAATACAGTTGGAGGACTCACATTATATGATTTCAAAACTTACTAGAAAGCAATGGAGATTAACAGAGTGTAGTACCAGGGAAAGGAGAGACACAGATTAATGAAATGGAACAAAGAACTCATAAATAGACCCACGCACATATACAGTTAATTGATTTTTGACAAATGTGCAAAGGTAATTCAATAGAGAATGTTTAATCTTTTCAACAAAAGGTGCAGAAGCAATTGGACATCCATATGTGAAAAAACTCAAAAACCTCATTCTATATTCACATCACAATAAAAAAAATTAACCCCAAATAAGGATTTAGATCTAAATGTAAAACCCAAAAAACTGCAAAATTTCTAGAAGAAAATATAGGAGAAATCTTTGTGACCTTGAGTTAGGCAAATATTTCTTAGATATGACATAATTCCTAAAAAATAAAATTGGTAAAATAAGCTTCATCAAAGTGTAGAACATCTATCTTATGAAAGACACTGTTTAGAGAATTAAGAAACCACAGACTGTGGGAAAATATTTGCAAATCAAATATTTGATGAAGGGCTCTTATCCAGAATATATAAAAGAAGTCTAAAAACTCAGTAATAAGAAAACAAACAGCTTGATTAAAAAATATGCCAAAGATTTAACAGCCACTTCACCAAATAAGGTATATGGGTGACAAATAAGCACACGAAGAGATGTTCAACATCATTAGTCATTAGGAAAATGCATATTAAGAACCATAATGAGATACCATTTCATAACTATTATAATCAAAATAAAAACTGAGGCAATACCAAGTACTGGAGAAGACTAAAGAACTAGAACTCTCATACATTGCTAGTGGGAATGTTAAATGATACAGTCACTGTGAAACACAGTTTGGCAGTTTCATATAAAGTTAAACATACACTTACTAGGACACCTGGGTGGCTCAGTCCATTAAGCATACAACTTTGGCTCAGGTCACCATCTCATAGCTAATGGTTTTGAGCCCTGCATCAGGCTCTCTGCTGTCAGGGCATAGCTCGCTTCTGAGCCTCTATCCCCGTCTCTCTTTGACCCTCTCCCACTCTCTCTCTCTCAAAAATAAATAAATATTTTTAAAAATGGATACTCTTATTATATGGCCCAACCATCCCACTCCTGGGTATTTGCCCAAGAGAAAGAAAGAATGTTTTTCACTCAAAAAACTGCACAAAATATTTATAGGGACTTCATTTGTAATCATTAAAAACTGGAAGAATCCAGGGGCTCCTGAGTGGCTCAATCTGTTAAGCATACAACTTTGGCTCAGGTCATGATCTCACAGTTTGTGAGTTCAAGCCCCATGTCAGGCTCTGTGCTGACATCTCAGAGTCTGGAGCCTGCTTCAGATTCTGTGTCTCCCTCTCGCCCTCTGCCCCTCCCCCACTCACCCTTTGTCTCTGTCTCTCTCAAAAATAAATAAACATTAAAAAAAATTTTTTTTTAAAAACTGGAAGAATCCAAATACCCTTCCTGGAGAAGGATAATAAATTGTGGTATTTTCATACAAGGGAATACTACTCACTAATAAAAATGAACAAATCACACACACAAAAAATGAACAAAGCACTAATATAACATAGAAGAATCCCAAATACATTATGGTCAATAAAAGCAATCTGTATTGAAAGGCTCTCTCCTGTATGATTTCATTTATATGACCACAGGCAACATTATAGGATCAGAAACTAGATCTGTGGTTTCCAGGGGTTGGGAATGGGAGAGTGGATTACAAAGGAGCAACACGAGGAACACTTTTTGGGCAACAGAGCCGTTCTTGTGTCTTGATGGCATCAGTGATTATACAACTGTTTGCATAGAACACCATACACAAAAAGGGTGAATTTTATTGTACGTAAATTTTTGAGAAGTAAGCCAAGTGAGAGGGAAACAAAAAATGCTACTCTGGGTTCCCTTGAACATTTCTGAGATTCAGACCTGCTGCTGGTGGTACAAGTCTCCTTAGCAGGAGACAAATTATTCATAGGAAGGAAAATGCACTTGCTTTTCAAAACGGGCAGAGGAAGAGTAAAAAGAGAGAAGGCTGTGAGTACCAAGTAAACATGGTAAATATTTTATTAGTTTGGGCTCTTAAACTGTCAATCTTCATATACATGGGTTTCCATAAATAGTCACGCAATCTTTTATCCTTTAGCTTGTAGCTTTTTAATGAGCCATATCCTTTTAAATTTGTTTTCCAAGGATCAAGCCTCACAAATATTGTCTCAGATAGACAATGTCTCACCTGGAGTGTACAGTCTCATACTTTTTCAGGCATCATGCATATTTCAATATGTTACCATCTAGTGAAGTTGCCCATCTGCTGCCTCCTGATTTTTTAATGACAACATTGGCATCACTGGGCTCCAGGAAGCCTCACACTGGGCAGGCACACCCTTGAAACTTTCTGAAATGTCGTTTCATATTATCCTACATCATTACTCAACTGTCTACATGAGGGACAATGGGATAGAAGAATTTAATTTTCAGGTCAGATTTCATAAGATTCTGGATCCAAAATCTTTTTAAGAAAGTCCACTTCTGCTGTAATTGGATCATCCATACATCATCCTCTTGACCTTCATAAGCCAATCAATTAATGGTCAGGTTTGTTAATCTGGGTCCATTAGCTCCTGTAAAGCATGCTAAATGATTTCATTGTATTATGAGGAAAAATATGTAAGTATGTGAGGAAAAATATGTAAGTATCTGGAGGCTAACAGTATTAGGAATATAATTTAAAACTGTAATTGAGTGGTCACAAAATAAATTCAGATTAGAACTTAAAAGGAAATTCTTGGAAAATATATTTTCATTGGGATACAGTTATGTTATCAAGACTAATCAGTGGATACTGGATGTTTCATATTAACATACTGGGTGGATGTTTGTCCAAGACTCCAGCGATATTAGGGCGCCTGGGTGGCGCAGTCAGCTAAGCGTCCGACTTCAGCCAGGTCACGATCTCGCGGTCCATGAGTTCGAGCCCCGCGTCAGGCTCTGGGCTGATGGTTCAGAGCTTGGAGCGTGTTTCCGATTCTGTGTCTCCCTCTCTCTCTGCCCCTCCCCCGTTCATGCTCTGTCTCTGTCCCAAAAATAAATAAACGTTGAAAAAAAAATTAAAAAAAAAAAAGACTCGAGCGATATTAAAAATTGTTTGTATCCATTTTCATGAGATTAAAATATTCCTGGGCCAACTCTTCTAGAATAGACTGAGTTAGATCTATCATTGCTTTTCTTTTGTTTCTTAAGAGAAAATAGGCTGAAAAAATAGATCACCAATCAATGGTGTTTGTTGCTCAGACTCTCCATTGGGAAGTAGATATGGCAATTTGGGAAATCCCAGGTAGGAGGGCTGTGTGGGCCTGGGCAAGACCAGAGGCCAGTTGGGCTCAACCTGTATCTTGAGCTACAGATAAGGTCGTAAGATCTAAAATGGATGAATTTCCCTGTTTTAAATAAAGCACTGGATTAGTAAATTCACATAAACTTGAAGATTCCAAAGTCTAATACACTGAATTTTCAGACTAAAATTTCGGTATGCTAATTTAATGCAGGAGTGGACAGACCACAAGTTACGTTGGAACCCTGATGAATATGGTGGAATTCGTTCAATTAAAGTTCCATCAGAATCTCTCTGGCTTCCTGACATAGTTCTCTTTGAAAAGTAAGTATCCCAGAAGAAACATACACTGGTCAGATTAGGACTAGAGATGGCAAAGCCTGATTCTGGCAAAATGATTAAGAGAAATGTACAGATTTAAGTAAGAAGAGAACTGATTCTTTTTGAAATATTGTTTGACACCGTAGTAGTAGTAAAGTAATAAATACAAATAGTAGAGGGGTGGGCAAAACCCCAACTCATTAGTGTCCAACTGCTTTTACCACAGTGCAGATGGACGTTTCGAAGGCTCCCTCATGACCAAAGTCATAGTGAGATCTAATGGCACCGTCATTTGGACCCCTCCAGCCAGTTACAAAAGTTCATGCACCATGGACGTCACGTTTTTTCCATTCGACCGGCAGAACTGCTCCATGAAGTTTGGATCCTGGACTTACGATGGTACCATGGTTGATCTCGTTTTGATAAATGAAAATGTTGACAGAAAAGACTTCTTCGATAATGGAGAATGGGAAATACTCAATGCCAAAGGGATGAAGGGCAACAGGAGAGATGGCACCTACTCCTATCCGTTCATCACTTACTCCTTTGTTCTGCGCCGCCTACCCCTGTTCTACACCCTCTTCCTGATAATCCCCTGCCTGGGGCTGTCTTTTCTGACAGTGCTCGTGTTCTATTTGCCTTCTGATGAAGGAGAAAAGCTTTCGCTATCAACCTCTGTTCTGGTTTCCCTGACAGTTTTTCTTCTAGTAATTGAGGAAATAATCCCATCTTCCTCAAAAGTCATTCCTCTCATTGGGGAGTACCTGCTGTTCATAATGATTTTCGTTACCCTGTCGATTATTGTTACTGTTTTCGTGATTAATGTTCACCACAGATCTTCTTCGACTTACCATCCCATGGCCCCCTGGGTTAAGAGACTCTTTCTACAAAAACTTCCTAAATTGCTTTGTATGAAGGACCACATGGATCGCTACTCTTTCCCAGACAAAGATGAGAGCCAACCAGTGGTGAAAGGTAAAGTTCTAGAAAAAAGGAAACAAAGACAGATTAGTGATGGAGAAAAAGTTCTTGTTGCTTTCTTGGAAAAGGCTGCTAATTCCATTAGATACATTTCAAGGCATGTGAAGAAAGAGCATTTTATCAACCAGGTGAGTACGCTGGTATTCATTACACTGCTGCCATTGAAATGTGCAAGAACCAATATTCTCACATCTATTACAATAAAATACTGTCATTTTTAAAATGTGGCATTATTAGCTATCTGCATTTCACGTGTAAAATGTAAAACAAGCCCTGACATGAATAAAAATTTTAGTATGGATCTTTAGGAAGCAGTTCACAGAAACAGAATGGGCAAAACAGAAGCAAGTATAGATTAAGCACCATCCCTTATAATTAGACTTGACTCTATTTAAAATAATGTTTTATGTTTATTTTTGAGAGAGAGAGAGTGAGCAGGGGAGGGGTAGAGAGAGGGGGACAAAGGATCTGAAGCAGGCTCTGTGGTGATATCAAGGAGCCCAACTCGGGGCCTGAACTCATGAACTGTGAGATCATGACCTGAGCTGAAGTCGGACGTTCAACCGACAGAGCCACCCAGGCGCCCCTATTTAAAATAATTTAATTTTACATTTTAAATTGGTTATCCTGGTCTCTGGTAATTTACCTCTCGTTTTTAGTTCAATGGTGGTTATTTCTAGCCATAGTATTTGGAAATAAAAGAACAGAATTAGACTTCGGGATTAATGTAAATATACAGTGTTCCAACAGATATTTTGGTGAGGGAAAAGGGTGTGGTTATTTGGCTAACATTAAAAAAAAAGTGTGGCACGAGTGTGGATTTCATACTCAAAACAGTTCTGGATTCAGATCTTACCTGATGCTTAAAACAAATTTTAAGACAATTTGTAGGGTTCAATTATTTTACTCTAAAATAAGTGCAAATTAGTGCTAAGAGCCTGATCCCATAAACAAAATTATGGAAGACATTTTTTAAGGAAACATGTATCTATACTTTATCTAGATACTACCTAGCATATTCTCTTACTATTTGTTGTGTTTTTCACCCATTGCTATAGAACTAACATTTCAGCTATTCCTTTTTTTTTTTTTTTTTTTTTTTTTTTTTAGAGAGAGAGAGAGAGAGCACATGCTTGCAAGTGAGCACAAACAGGGGAGGGGTAGAGGGAGAGAGAGAAGCTTAAGTAGGCTCCATGCTCAGAGTAGAGCCGGATGTAGGGCTCAGTCTCACAACCATGAGATCATGACCTGAGCCAAAATCAAGAGTTGGAGGCTTAACCGACTAGCCACGCAGGTGCCTCTTTTGCTATTTTTACGGGTTGTTCGTTGTTGTTTCTCTATCTTTTAAAATTTTGAATTCAAAGACTCAACTAGCTTTTTTAAAAATGATAAAAGTAACACATGATCAGGGTACAGAATTTGGAAAATACAAAAAATATAAACAGATTTAAAATAATTAATAATCCCACCACTTAAGATCGACACTTTAAACACATCTTTTTTGTGTTTTTCCCCAAGGTTTTATTCCTAAACCTCTATGTGTGCAGAATGCATTCTGGTTCTACATCAGTACCTATGTCCCCTCTCTATAAGTCCTGTTCTAGTCCATCTTCAAAAAACCCCATACAGTAGAAATGTGACAGTTCTTTTCCTTCAAAAGAGGAAAACTGGCACCTGTCCTTCAGACCTCCTTGGCCTCTCAACTTGTTGCTGCTTTGACCTTGCTCTTATAGGCTTATTCCCCACTCTCCCCCAACTTCCCTTCCTCCAAAGGGACTAGATCTTCCCTCTCCCTTGCAGATTCCTGTCATCTCATGGTCACTTCTCCTCCACGCAGTTTTCTGGCATTCCAGAGATAATAGCAGCCATACCCACATGTGGAGTGGAAGAAAAGAAGGCTTATAATATTTGGCCATGAAAATTTTTAATTTATAAGCTTATGATTCATTTCATATATGAGGTCAGGAAGATCCTAGTAAGAGATACTGGCTTTTTATTTGTGGAAAAATCAGTCCTTTCCCATTTGGATCAATATTGTTCTACAAATGCATAAATGGTTCAGTTGTTTCTATTTTATGTCTTCTATGTTGATGAAAATGTTCACAGGCTGTTTCCTTTGGGCACTGTTATTACGGAAGTCACGGGGGAGAATCTGAGCCTACGTTGCAGGGGATGTGTTAGGTGAATTTGAAAAATGAAGTGCTGTAAATCCAAATATTACTGTTTTTCAATCCCTTGAAATGAATTCAGAACAGTTGCCCTGCATATTGAATGGAAGGCATCTTTTTCTCTTTTGCAGGTAGTACAAGACTGGAAATTCGTAGCCCAAGTTCTGGACCGAATCTTTCTGTGGCTCTTTCTGATAGTGTCAGTTACAGGCTCTGTTCTGATTTTCACTCCTGCTTTGAAGATGTGGCTACATAGCTCCCACTAGGAACACATCTCCAGAGCAATCTAAAATACCATAAAGACAAAATCACACCTTAGAACTGACATCCAGCTAGCATGTACATACAGTACCCAAATGCATGAGCTTTTTGGAAAGGTCAGTGCCGTCCTCAGGGAAACTGAACACTGGTAAATGTGGGTTTGCCCACAGTAAATTCATGATTGCCACTGGAGGGAGTTGGGTTTAAGTAAAGCAGAACCCCCTCAGGTCCCTGCCTTGGCTTCTCCAGACGTTCATGGAGTCATATGGTCCAGGTCTGACATCACAGCCAGGACATGCTAGGGCTGCAGGACTAATGCCCCCAGGAAGCAGGACCAAGGATGCACACCAGGAACTCAAGGTAGTCGCTGATTCAAGCTGTTTGTGTGCACAGACCTGGGTCTCCTGAATCTACTGGTGTCCTTGGTGGTTTTGCCTGAGTTTGCAAACTGGTGCCGTGTGTTATGCCTTTGTAGCAATGTGTATAAGCAAATCTCAACAACCCTCTGGGGAATCACACTGGTCCAACAGGTCTGGCACAGATCGCTTGTTATCGCAAAGATTCCAAGATGCCTGTTAACTAAAGCCCCTCCCCTTCCCCCCAACAAATGTGGTATTTGTTAAAAACAGTCTCTTGAATGTGGTAACCTTTAAGACAGGTGGTATTCGTGACTTATTCATAACACTGTATAGTTTTTCTGATGGTGAAACTAGAACCTACGTGAGTTGTGACTTGCTCTAAGGGCCATATCAAAATAACTTACAATAGAAACACTGTTATCTGTTGCCAAGAGTGCAGTCATTAAAATGCATTATCTTTTCCTAGAAAATAGAAGTACTGAACATTCTCTGATAATGGGTTTTTATGTCCTCACAGCCAGTCTAATCCATTTCAACAGTACTCTCAAGGCTTTCCATTCTGCTTTTTTTCTTCCTTTCTTTCTCTTCCTCCTCCTCCTCCCTCTGCCCCCTCCTCCCTCCTCTCCCTCCTCCTCCTCTTCTTCCTCCTCCTCCTCCTTCTTCTTCAGAACATTTAAGTTCTACTGTCAGCAAATTTTAATTATACAATGTAGTGTTATCAACTAGTCACCATGTTTTACATAAGATCTCCAGACCTTATTTATTTTATAACTGAAAGCTTATACCCTGTTGCCAATCTCTCCCTATTTTCCCTCCCCATCAGTCCCTAACAACCACTTTTCTAAGTGTCCACATGTAAGTGAAACCATGCAGTATTTGTCTTTCTCTGTCTGATGTTTCTCTTCTTAGCCCAATGCCCTCTGCGTTCATCTATGTTGTTGTAAATGACAGAATTTAAGGCTGAATTATATTCCTGTGTGTGTGTGTGTGTGTGTGTGTGTGTGTGTGTGTGTGTGTAATCACATTTTCTTGATCCACTCATCCATCAACAGACACAGGTTGTTTTCATACATTGGCTATTGTGGATAATGCTGCAATGAACATGGGAGTGCAGATATTTCTTTGAGAAAATGATTTCGTTTCCTTTGCATACACCCAGAAGTGGATGGATCACATGGAGTTCTATTTTTCATTTCTTGAAAAACCTCCGTAACTTTTTTTATACTGGCTGTACCAACTTAAATTCCCACCAACAGTGAAAAGGGGTTTCCTTTTCTCTACATCCTTGACAACATTTGTTATTTCACATCTTTCTTATGGCAGGCATTCACACAGCTGTGAGGTGATATCTCACTGTGCTTTTGATTTGCATTTCCCTGATGTTGAGCACCTTTTAATGTACGTGCTGGCCATCTGTATGTCTTCTTTGGAAGCATGTCTATTCAGATCCTTTACCCATTTTTTAATTGGGTCATTTGGTTTTTTACTGTTGAGTTATATGAAATTTTTGTATAGTTTGTTAGTTTGCATACTAACCTCTTATCAGATACATGGTTTCCAAATATTTTCTCCTATTTCGTAGGCTGTCTTTCCATTTTGCTCATGGTTTTCTTTGCTGTGGAGAAGTTTAGTTTGATGCAATCCCACTTGCTTATTTTTGCTTTTGTTGCCTTTGCTTTTGGTGTTGAATTAAAAAAAAATCATTGCCAAGATGCCCTCCTTTGTTTCCATGTGTCTCCCTGCCCCTCTGGGAGCACTCGTCACCCAACTTGCCAACTCCCTCTTGAAGATTCATCAAGGAAGAGTCTGTTCAGGTGCTTTTTGCCCTCCAAAATTGTTGCTGCCAAATTCTGATTTTAACTTGAAGTAATTGTTCTTTTTTCCAAGATTTAAGTCTTAATCCATTCTGGACTATTTGGTTTGGGGCATGTTTCTCATAAACAGTTTACAGCTGAGACTTGGGGTTTAACCTTTCCACATGTATTGTTACCACCCAGATGGTTAGTCTTATTCATGCCATTTTGTTTTGTGTTTTCTGTGTAATGTTTTCTTGTCCTTTTTTGTTGTTGTTGTTCCTTTTCAGCTCTGACTGTATTTGTTCCTTCCTCTTTACTGGATTGAAAGTTATGCATCCATTTCTATTAATTTATTAATAAACATATTCAAATTTCTTTAATTGGTGTTGGGATTTAATGCCCATAGCCACCACTCTTGAAATGAAACAGTTCCTTTAGCACTTTCCCTTCCCCTCTTCTTTTATCACCTTTTATGTTTTGCTAAATCATCCAAAATTCTAATTCCACGTTATTAATTTTTTATGTTATGTGTCTCTTTCCTCTGAATAATTTATTGACAATACATTTTGTCCACAACCACATTATAAACAAGTAATTGGTTTACTCATTTCTTGGTTTGCCACTTTTTTTCTCCTGTTTTCCTCTTTACCTGATTTATTTTATTTCATTATCTCAGAGGAATACATCTCCAAGCAATTCTTTCAGAAACTTTTGAGAGTGGTTACCTTTCTGAATCCTTGCACTTCTGAAATTGTAATGTATTCTGCTCTCATGGGTTGAGCATGGAATTTTGAGTTCAAAATCTTTCATCCTCAGAATTGTGAAGATATTATTCTACAATAGATTCTTTTTGTGAAAGTTGATTCTTTTTTTTTAATATATGAAATTTATTGTCAAATTGGTTTCCATACAACACCCAGTGCTCATGCCAAAAGATGCCCTCTTCAATGCCCATCATCTACCCTTCCCTCCCTCCTACCACCACCACCCCCCCACCCCCCCCCCCATCAACCCTCAGTTTGTTCTCAGTTTTTAAGAGTCTCTTATGCTTTGGCTCTCTCCCACTCTAACCTCTTTTTTTTTTTCTTCCCCTCTCCCCCATGGGTTTCTGTTAAGTTTCTCAGGATCCACGTAAGAGTGAAAACATATGGTATCTGTCTTTCTCTGTATGGCTTATGAAAGTTGATTCTTATTTATAGATTCCTATTTTTACCTTGATGAAACTCTTGGACTTTTCTTACTATCTTTGGACTTTAGAAATGTCACCTGAAATAAAAAAGAAAAAATGTCACCTGAATGCTGTATGTGTCTAAATACAGGGCTCTCTCTCTCTCTCTCTCTCTCATTATCTCTCTTTCTCCCTCTCTGTTTTTATCTTGGCACTTGATGACTAATGTCTTTATTCAACTCATGAAAATTTTCTTCTCTAACTTCTTTTATTATTTCCTATCCTCTATTCTCTCTCTCCTCTCTTTTTGAAATTTCTAATAGAAGGATTTTGGTATTCCAGGATCTGTCTTCCATGTTTATTAATTTTTTTTTCAACGTTTATTTATTTTTGGGACAGAGAGAGACAGAGCATGAACGGGGAAGGGGCAGAGAGAGAGGGAGACACAGAATCGGAAACAGGCTCCAGGCTCTGAGCCATCAGCCCAGAGCCTGACGCGGGGCTCGAACTCACAGACCGCGAGATCGTGACCTGGCTGAAGTCGGACGCTTAACCGACTGCGCCACCCAGGCGCCACCCATGTTTGTTAATTTATTAACTCTTCTCTCATTACTTTTTACTTGTTTAATTGTTTACATTGTCAGCTTGATGATACCCCTAACTAATTTGATAGTCAGTCATTGTCTTCTCTGCTATGCAGCCCACCTACCAAGGTGAGGTTTTGTTTGTTAATGGATGAATCCTGGATGGATATTTGCTAATGGATGAATATTTGATTTCCAAGAACTCTAATTCTTATTTTTGGATGTCATATCTTCTATAATAACTTGGAGGGATACTAATTATAGTTACTTTAAAGTCTTCTGTTGTTTGTATTAACAATTTTTCTTCAGGGGTTACTTCTTCTACTTATACTTTTTATGCTTTTTGTGGTAGTTTTATTCCCATGTTTGTTGATTTTTGACATTGTTTGTTTACCTAACAGTGGAAATCATTTCTGATGACAGAATACCGGGCTCCAGTTGCTTTCCTTTACTGTCTATGTCCAAGAAAGCATTTTTCTAGAGTATGTGAGTAGCTCATCTAATACATTCAAGGAACCCCTTTCTTCATGGCAGCCATAAATAATCTCGGGCTAAACTATTTCTAAACTAAACTATTTCACTGACTCCAGTGCTCACTCTGGTTTCTCATGTGTCAGAATGCCCACCAGATGGGACAGACTGTGAAAGCCACTATGAAAAGTAGAGTACTGCTACAGCTGTGCTTGGTCCTTTACTTGATTACTCAACAATTATACCTGAAGTCTCCCCTGTGTATAATCTTAGAATTGTTAGAAAGAAAATAATTTCTTTGGTGGTCCCATCTTTCTTTCATGGGACCAAAATTCCACTGCTCTGTTAGGTTTTATCATAAACCTGATCTGTGCTGCATATTTCAGCTATTCTACACCAATCTGGTCTGTGAAGATGCCTCAGCCAACTTTCCAGTGCAGTCATGGATGTATTCATTTTACATTTATTTTGATATATCAGTAGGATTTGGAGGACACACACACACACACACAAAATGAAACATATCAACCAGCCTTTTTTTTTTTTAATGTTTATTTTTGAGAGAGAGAGACAGAGAGAGAGACAGAGCATGAGTAGGGCAGGGGCAGAGAGAGAGGGAGACACAGGCTCTGGGCTCTGAGCTGTCAGCACAGAGCCCAATGTGGGGCTCAAACTCATGAACTGTGAGATCATGACCTGAGCCGAAGTCAGATGCTTAACTGACTGAACCATCCAGACGCCCCCAGCCAGCTATTTTATACTGATCTTTTCTAAATCTCAATCTTTAATATATATGTCCAATTGTATATGGAGACTAGGACACTGAAAAATCACCACAGGTGACACTATGCCATGAGAAGAGTGTGGATCTCTTTTAAGGACTCTGATTAATCTTGACTTTACAGGCTGGTGGATGCTGGACACAATAGGGACTGGAGAGATGATTCTCTTAGGAATAAAATTGCTAATTATTGACCAAAAAAAAAAAAAGTGAAGCACATCTTGAAGTCAGTGATCCACATATGTTGTTAGATTTGGCAGGATATCCACTCCAGTGGGGTTCTTCACGCCTCGCTGTCTATAATCTCCTGGACATTTGCACTGGTTTCCAAACTGTTTTTCCTGCTTCCAGTCAGATCTCCATCCTCTTCGTACCAAATAGCCCTTGTCCTTTTCAGACATAATCTCTCCCTCCCTTGTGCCCTTGATCTCTCCTCCTGGATATGGTTTCTTTAATTACTCTGGCTGTCTTGTAAGGCTCCCTTTCCTAGGCCTAAAAAGTACCCAGATCTACTTTCATTTTAGAACAAACACAGGCCATAGTGAACCGAAATAATAGAATATTTTCAAATAGCCCGGACTACTTTATTACAGAGATTCGTGCCATTCTAATAACCCTCAAAAGTAGTCATAAATTCCAAAACAGAAATCACATTTATATATATTTTAAGTGTGTAAGTAATATTTAACATGGGCAGTTTATTTTTCAACATATACCAAATTTTATACCATAGAATTATATTTTTATGTGCTATGCACACACATTGTGGAACATTGGGTTCCTTGCTTGGTCTACATATCTATTATTTCTCTGCACATTTTACTGGGTTTTTTAAAAGGGAGGGGCGCCTGGGTGGCTCAGTCGGTTA